CACGAATTTTTAGACTTCTGCGATAAGATTTCAGTGACAGTTATGCTTGCGCACTCACTAATACTACTTAATCCATATGTCAGACAGTGCAGCAGCAAACCATCAAAACCAAAACAAAACAAAATAAAATTTCTCACGATCTGTCAAATCACAAGCCAACTAGGCTATCCAAGACAAGGAGAGGAGGTCTGGCAATGTGCAGCTTGTTGTTTTTTCCTTCGCTCGCATTCGAATGGAACAGTGAGTTTGACGTCACACTTGTTGTTAAATGGTAACAGTAGGGGAATGAAAGAGACTATAAAATTAGCATTGCCCGATCTTTCTCTTTGACATAGCTAGGCTACGTTTGTGTGAGTAAGAGATAGGTGTACGCTGGGTGTGCGAAAATATTCACTGTGCAGAAATTTTTCATGAAACTTTCCTTAAATTATCGACACCAATTTAAAACTTCTTCAATAGTCTAGACGTGGTTCAATAGTCTTGACATTGTCATGGATACCAAAATTAATTAGGTGGAATTAAATGGAAGAGGAGATGCTGTTTTATTTTTTATAGTCTAGACATTTATGGTGTTATTAAAACTGCCTAAACGATTACTGAATTTCTTTAAAGTTCTCTAGACTCTATATACTTTATATACTGAATTTATCAGTATTTTTTAAGAACCCGCACCTTTACTGAAATCAATTGATTTGCCTTGAAGTTGCGATAATTTCCTTAAGTAGTATAACCATTATTAACGCTCACTAATTTTCCTTGAATTTATATATGCTTACCTGAGGTTCTCCAAATTTGTTTAATAGACCGGCAAATTTTCTGATATACATTCATAATTTCCTGACGCTTTCGGATCAATCCTAGAATTCTTGCAATACCCTATAATTCCACGAAGCTCCTTCCCTAGCAGCACACATGTCACTGAACAATTGTGGTTACTTGTGTGCCACTTATTCCAGTCACAATCAAGTTGAATATTATATTTAATATTTCGATCGAAGTGTGCTGCTTGGGTTGTAAGTTATGTAAGATTATTCTGAAGCTATCTGATCGTCCTCGAAGTACTCGGAACTTCGATGAATATCATAAAACTATCTAAAAATGTCTAAATTTATTTGAGGTTCTCTGGAATTTTTTGAAGAAAAAAAACTGCTAAAACTTCTCGGATTTTTTTTAAATTAATGAAACTTCGTTAATGTTCTCTAATCGACTTAGCAAAATTATCACTTTTTTAAGTTCTTGAAATCTCAATAACATAACACCCTTAAATTACTCTCACGTTTTATTTATTTATTTGTCGTCAATCAAATGTAGATCAGTTTAAGTTACAAAAAGCACTTAAGATCTTGAAATAATGAAATTGGGTTGTTAGCAGAAAGCTTAAATAAAACAACAAAAAAAGGTTATCTTCCATTTAAATCCACTTAATTAATTTGTGTATCCATGACAGATACGTATTTCAACTACAATGTGCAGTCTTCATCAGTGGGAATGACACTTTTGCTGTTTTACTTAACATCTATTTTATTTTCAATCTCTGAATAATCTCGAAAAGAAACGTTTTTTAAGAGCATTTGTGTTCATTTTCATATGTCATATATGTCATATATGTCAATTCCTGGCATAGTTTGTTCTTCAGTTGTTAATATAAAACATATTTCTGTTTCTAAAGGAACGAGTGGAAGCATATAAATTAAGATTTTCTAAAATCTCTGTGGCATTCACTCTTTGTGCTACAACATCGTTTATAAAAGCTATCATTACAAACTGCCTTTGCTTTTCAAGTGCATCCAAATTGATCAACATACTTTGAGACTCATAAGATGGTAAGGGTAAACTCGTCCAGCCTAACTCTCTTATAGAAAATAATAGAAACTATTTTTGAACTGATTCAATGCGGTTTATATGGGTATCTTGATATGAAGCTCAGACTATACTACAGTACTCAAGGAGGGGCCTAACATATATTTTCCGGATGTTCATTTAATTTTTACCGCGTTCCAGAAATTCGCTCGGAGTTTTGCTGAAGTTTCCGGAAATTCCCTGAGTTTCTCGAAATTATTTTATTTTCCTTGATTTTATTTCCGTCGATCTTATTTTCTGTACTGAGTACCAATGCTACCGAAGCCATGGAGGCAGCTCCCACACCTGGACCCTACCAACTCATAGACTGGGGTCCAACGGCTTTACTTCTCTTCCGAAGGAAGGCGTGATCAGAGATTTTATGCCTCAGAAAATCCCGGCGGTGCTGACTGGGAATGAACCCTGACCTTTTGGGTAAGAAGCAATCACACTTACCACTTCACCACCACACCACCGGCACCACTTCTTTAAGGTTTCTACAATTTTCTTGAAATTATTGGAACTGCCTTTGATTCTCTGAACTGTCTTGATGTTCTCGAACCTTCCCTAAAGCTCTCAATATTATTGAAGATTTCGGTTCTGCTCGGAAATAAATGGAATTCCCGTAAACACTTTTATATTTCCCTGAAATTCTCTGGACTTCTGTGAAGTATCTGAAATATTTCTGAAGTTTTCATAAATTCTCTGAAGGTCTCTGTACTTCCCTGAAATTCTCGGAAGATGATCACATTATGGAACAATCCTGAATTTTTCTCTTCAAATTGCTCCAAAAGTGTGGACTAAATAGTTGAAGATTCTAATTTCAAATAACAGACTGTAGTGGTAATTTTTATACGATAGATGGAGTAGATGACTCCATCTATCGTATAAAAATTACCACTACAGTCTGTTATTTGAAATTAGAATCTTCAACTATGTAAATCGTTGACTTCACGTAGAAGTAATACTAAAAACATATAGTCAAAGTGTGGACTAAAGTTACGGGAACTACGCTTAAGATCTGTTATTACCCAAACATCTCTAGATCTAGCTTTTCTGAAGTGCTTAGAACTTCTTAAAAATTTGCACAATACCCCTCAAGTTTTCTACATTTCTCAAGTTCACTTGACACCTGTGAGTTCTCCGGAATTCTAGGAACGTCATAAAAGTTCCTGAAAATTTTTGGATTCTAAAAGAACCGCTTTGAAGTTTTGAAAGCTTCCAATAAGTTCCCCACATTTTCGGCGTGTGAACAACCCTTATGTTCCCGCAGTTTTTTATGGAGCTTCACTGAAGTTCTCAGCATTTCCTTTCATTCCTCAGAACTTCTCAAAAATTCCTAAAATTGTTGGGAAGTTAATGGGACTGCAATGAAGATCTCTAACCTTCCATAAAGTTAATAACGAACTTGAAATAAATCATTTAATTTTTTTTCTTTAATTTTGGCACTTTGAAAATTTTCATTAACGGCACCGGTGGTGTAGTGGTAAGCGTGATTACCTCTCACCCCAGCAGGCCTGGGTTCAATCCCAGTCGGCGCCGCCGGGATGTTCTGAGGCATAACATCTCTGATCACGCCTTCCTTCGGATGGGAAGTAAAGCCGTTGGTCCCCGGTTCATGAGTTGATGGGTCGATAGGTAGGGTCCAGGTGTAGGAGCTGCCTTCCTGGCACGTCGGTAGCATTGGTGCTCAGCACGGAAAACAAGATCGACGGAAAAAATAAACCAAAGGAAAAAAAAAAAAAATTTCATTATCTTGAACTTGTACATGGAATAGGAATCTTCAAGACACTGAAAATTTTTAGATCTTATTAAATTGAGAAATAAAGTAAAACACTATCCAGACTGGAGAGTTACAACATGTTATAACGGTTGTCAAATAATTCCAACACAGAAACCACCATCCAGATAGCGCTATAACATGTTATAACTCTGTAGTCTGAACGTACTATAAGTGTTAAACTTCAACATTCAATGGATTTGATTGTAAAGCTGTTTCTTTAAAACTGATTGCCGTGTCCTTTTTTTTTTGAGTTAATTGCTGTTGTTAAAAAATAGCTTTCTTATTATAAGCCTGTTAAAGTTCTGGAAAAACCTGGAAAACTCAGGTAATTTTATTTAGAAAAATGAGTATATATCCGTCACAAAACAAAGAATGCTCAATCTTGAAATAAATTCACGCTAAAAAAGTTGAAAATAGTGACTGTTTACAAGAAAAAGTAACTTTAGTGGCTTGGCCTTTACAAAAGAGTTTTTAGTGACTGGCTTGAAAAAAGTGACGAGGTCACTAAAAAATGACTCGCTACCATCCCTGGTAACTTCCTTTTTGGCTAAACTGAATGATTTTCGACTCAAAAATGAGTAGCCTCAAAATAGCGTGTGTAGGACATTTTCTGCGTTGGAAATTTTGCTGACTTCTTTGGGGATATACAGGAGTATATATCATTGTGCTTGCCACACAAAGTAAAAAAATCCATGCAATGATTAGCATACAAAGCTCTTAACTACCTACAAATTGTGGAAGTGCTTCAAAGAACAAGAAGTTGAGAGCAGAGAAAACGCTCGCCAGATGGAAGCGAAGATGGAAAAGATTTTGTTAATCAAGTTTATCAATTACTTAAGATAGCTTAAGATGAGCTAGTTCTACAAGCTTTGTAGATGTAGTTCATTTCGTACCAAACATATTTAGAATACATCGGAAAAATTTGACCGATAATAAAATTTCATACTCACATTCAATCGCGACCAGAGCATACCTCGTCTTCAAGGTGAGATTGCTCCCAATATATCACGGAAATCTACAGAGTTGTTTGCGGATGGAGTTTAAGCAGGAATTCCTTTTACCCAATTCTTAGGTTTTTATTTATTGTATAGTAAGATTGCTGACCGCAAATGGTATTAGTACTATTGAATTTTAATTCAACGAAAGGGGATTTCCAAAATTATAATTCTCGGCCGGAAACGAAATGAAACGCACGATCCGATTGTTGTAGAGTGAACGAGAATATAATTTTCCTGTCAAATGACAATTTAAGTACATATTAGTTTAAATATTAAAATAAATTGGCTTAGCAAAGGAACTTAGTTTTCTTTACATTCATTAGAACGTAAGATATATGTAAGTTTGTTCCACATTATTTAGATTGGAAGATAGATGTAAGTTTGCGTAACATTTTTCATTTTACAACGTATTCATTCCCGACCAACCATTCGTGAAACTTCGTTAAAGTTCTTTATGCAAAAATTAAGATTTTTGTCGATAATTCTTTACCTTGAAATTTGTTTGATTGCGATACGTATATTTAAAAATATTTATTGATCGATACTCACATTTAAGAAAATTTCTTTATCGGTAGTATTATAGAAATCTATCCAGCTTTCCATGCTCGGTAATGGCGGCCTGTTTGTATGAATAAATGTATCCTTCACTGTGCTATCTGGAGGTTCGGATTTTGACCCTTCTCTTTCCCTCTTCCAGGAACAGAAGAAAATGGAACAACATACGCCCTCCAGTTAGTGTCAAAAAGCACAGTGAAGGATACATTTATTCATCCAAACAGGCCGCGATTACCGAGCATAGAAAGCTGGATAAAGGTGCCATAATAAATTTCGTCCAATTTCGATATATCGCAAGGGCTTGAGCTTTCTTCATAGATATTAATCTAAAACTATTTAAATTCTTATACCATCGTATCGTTGCACTTCGCTAAAGAACAACAAAGAATGCCATCGATGCAGATTCATAATCCTCTTGTTATCGATTTGCACCGCTGGGTAAAAAGAGTTCGATACATCATGTGACAGATGGCTATGTTTATAAAATTTCTGAATGAACAAATAAACACGAAGATGTCCGATCCAAGTTTCAATCCTGAAATTGAGGAAGAGGTGCTGGAGGAAACTCAAAATAATCAGGCAGTAGTAGTAACACTTCCGCTAGATGTATACAACGAGCAAGCGGATTCAATAAGAGCGCTACAGGCCGATGTGACTTTTATTAAGGAGCAAATACAAATCCTGGTCCAGCAAGGATTGCCACCGGGTACATCGTCAACATCAACACAGGATTTTTTTAATCCGATTAGAGAGTTCATGCCTCTGGGATCCACTGATGCATTGATCAGATTCGAGGAGTTGCTGGGAAAAAACGACAACAAAAAGAAATTTGTAAGTGGTACCATTTATGTTCTGTTTATGTTGCTTATTAGTGAACTCATATCGTTTATTTGCAGGAAAAGTTCTTAGCATCTTTCGTACTGTTTAAAAAGCCTCTGAAAGAGATAACCGTGGCTTTCATTGAGAAAGTGTATGACCTTGCATTGCAGTCTCAAGTGAGCTATTCTGGGGCTGGTGGCAAACAGGCATTAAAAAGTTTGTGCTCGACACAAGTATTAATAAGTAAGTAGTTTATTTTTGCTGAATTCAAAATATAATACATATTATTGCATCTTACAGAAGCTCTCGTCGATCATTCGCTCTTTGACAACACGGAGAACCCAGCAGCCCAAGCGTGTGTCGAATTTCGGTACCAAATGCAACACGCATGTGATCGGATTAGGAGCAGTAAGCGCAAGCAATCTGGGTCCGTAAGCCGACAACGAGTCAGCAGACAAAAGTTGACTGTTCCGCTGCTTAAGATGGAGCTTAACGATGGCCACAATGAGGATGAAGTCTTGGATGAGGACACTGAGTAAGATCTTGAAATTAAAAAGAAATTTTTGCTCTTGTTTTTTTTTTTAATAAAAGCGGTAACAAACTATAACACCTGTTATAATCTTATTGTTATTTAAATGTATGAATCAGTGGTGTTACAAAATAATCCGAGCCATATAAATTGTATGGTAAGCAAACCATTTTGCATATTGATGGATTTAGAGGAAATGTCTTTACACAGTTTTCGAAATTTCCCAAAAGCATACTCAATTTTAACGTCAACTTTGAATTACACAGTGATTCTTCTACTTTAAACTCCTGTCCTGTAACATAGATACTTACATCTTTTTTTTTCAAAAAACCTCACTCGCAAAATAACAATTTCGTTAAAGAATTCCACATGATGCAGTTGTCACTTTTCTTATCTGCCCGAACAGTGAAATTAGGATAGGTAAATCTATAAAATTTATGACGATTATATTCAAAATGGCTTAAATTGAGTAAGTTATCGTTTGCTACCACACCAGTAACAGAGTTGAGTTCCTCCTGAAGCCTGTTGAATATTTGTTGTAGGGGTTTGCTTTGAACATGTAAATATCGCTTTATCTTTTTTATATCGGCTTCAAACGGGTAACAGCTATACGAATCCAAAGGACCATGTTTTATGGCATCATCTGCTAGATGTAAAAGAACGTGAACATTAAACGATACCGTCTCTTTTCCATATAGCTCAGGATAACTATTAACAAATGAGATCAGTAACTTTTTCGCGACTTTGTTGTACTTTTCATATAGTGATGAGCAACAGAGAATTCGAATGGCAACTGAAAAATTCAAAAAATGGGAAAATGTGGTTGTAGGAATTATCTGATGGAATATGACTAGTCCTGCATACAAAACAATATTTCTAAATTCTGTTGCTTTCATTTTTGAAACGTAATTAAGGGTCCTCAGCTTTCTTTGAAATTCCATTGGTACATATTCTGTGCATTCTTTGATTCGATCGTCGATTTCTTTCATATTTTTTTTCGTTAGCTTTTGTGGGTTAGCCTTTCCTGTGAATGCAACTAATATTTTTTTACAGACTCCTTCATCAACAGCGTGCATTTTGTCGATTACAAAGTCTTCAATCATGTCAATTGGTAAGTTTTCCAAAATAGTGTGGTCTTTGGACATGTGGTGGTCATCTTTATCATTATTCGACATTCTTTGTCTGAATTTCGAATCGGTACGTAGAGGAGCATCGACTTCGGGATATACTATTTTCCTCGAACCGGAAATATTCGTCCCCCGGGTTTCACATTTTGGACATGCTGAATATCCTCCGTGTGATTTTATACCCTTGATGTACGCTACTGCTGGTGCATCTGCGACGATACATTTTATTTTCACGGTATATACCTTACCATCTTTATGAAATCCAGTAGTAAGTAATTCCTTCATTTCATCGACAAACTCGTTGAGAAATGCGTTAAAAGATGTTGGTTTCGATGGTCCATTGAAAATTCCTACGATGAATACATGCCGTATAAACCCTTCGGTATGGATAGCTCCCGATATAATCCACAAATCGTTCGCACCACTTTTAGAAACAGGTGTTCCGTCTACCGAAAAAGATAGCATAATTGGTCGTCCTTCTTTGATATGATCCATCAAATTGAACTGGTTCAAAAACTCCGCTATACCAATGTGAATGTATTCTCCATTGCACATTTCCCGAACGTTGGATTTTCTTGGTGTTTTAAGAAGACTACGCGCATCATTTGGCAAATCCAATCCAGTATGTTCCTTCAAAATCTTCAGTAAATCGGAGACTCCGGCCAACGGAACACTGTATTTTGAAACCCAACCTGCCAGATCTGCTTTCAATTGGGAGCTGGGAGAAACATCAGTTGTTCTAATTGATTCATCTGTATTCTGCATAGGAAACACATTAAAAAACAAATTAATAACTAACAAACGTGTGCATTGATAAAATTAAATCCGTCACTAACATTGTTTCCATACTCGTTTTCAGTCAACGGATCAAGATTTTTCCATATTGTCTCGTCAAAAGCTTGATCCAAATACTCTATATCCATAAATTCGTTCGAAGAGGCACTCTCCGTTGACGAATTCCGTACTTCATCGCAAGAAGCATCAGCATCCGGTAAATGAATGGGGAGGCACGTCCGTGGCCGCGGCGAAGCAAATGTTTGCAATTGTGACTCTTTAAGTTTATGTCGATGTGCTCTCGGTCTTTTTTTAAGAACCCGTGGCAAGATTCTCGGCATTTTGAAACGAAAGAGGAAACTTGAAACCTTGACGACTGACTGTTTTAATGTTATGACAAATTATTTCAAAGATGCATGAATAAATGTACAGAAAATTCGACACACCATGTACAAGAGTATGTTCTGCAGTCGTTGGGAAGGTCATCAACAGCAGCTGTAGACCCGAGGATCAGCAACCAACAACGAAATCAGTATACCCTAAATGGCATGGGATCGAAACTAGTAATTGTGCAGTTAAAAAAGTCTTAAAAATATCAGCACTGTAATTGATAGAAATATGTTTACTTCTGTTGATGATCACCGTCTGGCTAAGATGATTCAATTAAGTTTAAGTTTAAGAAATTAAGTTTCCACGCTTCGCAAAAAATATTTTTTTTTATAATATTTAATTACGTTTCAAATAAATCCACGTAAAGATCAGTACTGAACTGGCAACATAAATCGATATCTTTACATCGTTAACGATTGGTATCGAGATTTTGATAAAAATCTTTATAAATTATTCATTATTAGACTTGGAGTAGCTTTGAATGGCTTCATGAAATGGTGACGATCGCTATCGATTTTTTATATGAATGGCTTTAAAGGCCGATATATCACAATTTGAAGAAATTTAAATAAATGGTTGGTCGGGTTGTTCTCAGTTTTTAGGCCCTAGATGTAAGTTTAGATCATATTTACTTACGTTTAGTATCCCTTTTTAGTCCAGGATCTAGTTTTAGTCTAGCATGTAGTTTACTAGAGGTAGGTCCTAAGTAAATTAAGTTAGGTTAAGAATGTGTATTGTTTCATGTTCCTCTTTTCAATTTTCCTTACCAGTATCAACGGCTAGTTCAATTGTTCGAGCCGTAGCACAAATTCACCAGCAAGCAACACGTATCAAATCCCTAATTTTAAGAAACTTTGTTTAGTTCACAGCTTAGATTAAGAACAATTAGACTTACCAGCCGCTATAGATATTAGGCACTAGTTTAATTATTTATATGTAGTATTTAATTAGATTAAGCTGAATGTTATAGACGTTTGACTATCAACCTTTCTATGACTACCTTTTGTTTTGGCTTTGTCTTATTCTCTACTCACCAATGGTGACAGTACTCCAAACCTGTCACTCTGTCGTTTTCGGAGCGGCCACCGGGCGGCGTTCGATGCTGTCGGTTCGCAATGTATGCCGACGTTGAAGGTGAGCGCGCTGGCCTAATGGGATAGGCCAACACTCCCTCCAGGGTACACCAACTTCCGGTTGGGTTACTGCTTGACGCGCTGAACATCTAACACCGCCAACTTGGCTGCTGGACGTTCGTAGACTCCGCTGATCGTCTGCACAGTCGCGGACCGGACCTGACCGTCTCGGCTAGCGATCGTGTTGATAACCCTTCCTTTTGGCCAGCAACTCCGAGGCAACTTGGGGTCCACAATGATAACAATATCTCCAGTTGCGATGGACTTCACAGACTGGAACCATTTCGACCGACGAGTGATTTCCGGCAGGTAGTCGCTAACCCACCGCTTCCAGAACAGGTTAGTCAGGATCTGCGAAGTGCACCAGTTCTGCTTCAAGGCGAGACCACAGTCGTTACTCGTGACAAGTGGTTTTGTACCATTTGATGAACCAACCAGGAAATGGTTCGGGGTGAGAGCTGGAGCAGAGTCGTCATCTACTGGCACATGCATGAGTGGTCGAGAGTTCACCACGCTTTCTATTTCAGTTAGAGTGTTTCGTAGCACTTCGTCTGACGGTTTCTTCGTTGCGCAGACGACCATCAGGTTGCTCTTTACTGTTCGTATCAGCCGCTCCCAGCTTCCGCCCATGTGTGGTGCTAGCGGAGGATTGAACCGCCATTCGGTCTCAGAGCTACTGAACTCTTTCATGATCGCGTCGTGATCGACCACTGCTTCGAGCTTCTTCAGCTCTCGTTCCGCTACGACGAAGTTAGTGCCCCGGTCACTGTAGACTTTACGGGGTCGACCACGCCGAGCGACGAAATTTCTGATTGCCATGATACAGGAACTAGTGGTTAGCGAATGGACGACTTCAATATGTATCGCCCGCACGGTCAAGCAGGTGGCTAGCATTCCCCAGCGTTTCTCGACCCTTCTTCGGACGATGACTTCAATTGGGCCGAAGTAGTCGATTCCCGTGTGCGTGAACGGCCGCAAGAATGCTGCTAGGCGACCGGGAGGTAGGTCGGCCATTATTGGAGGATTCGGAGTTGCATATTCGTTCTTACACCTCTGGCAATCTTTGCGTACTTGGTTGTAGCACGAGCGTATGCGGCCAATTTGATATTTTTGCCGCAGTTCATTCACCACAGTTTCGTGGTTTTGATGGTGGTATTTATTATGGTAGTGGGATATTATTAAGGTAGTGATGTGGTGTTTGCGAGGTAGGATGATGGGTTTCTTCGCGTCTTCAGTGGCATAATGGCAGGCTGTGATGCGGGTTCTCATTCGCATTATACCACGTTCGTCCAGCCACGGTGTCAGCTTGTACAGTGAACTGGATTTCGGCAGCGGCGGTGATAGATCTCCTACGATTTGTGGCATATTCCGCAGGGTGGAGAGTTCTTCAGGATAGCCGTCTTGCTGCGCGATGCGGATCAGGTATGCTTCAGCTGCGGACAGCTCACTTTCGACGAGCGGTCCCGTTTTAGTCGGCAGTTTTTGTAGTTTCAATCGACAGTTTGCTGCAAATCGCAGTACCCACGCGACTATTTTTTTCAGTCGTTCCCAGCTGGAGTAGTCCGCGGTGCAGATGATCGGTTCTGGAACAACGTGGTGTGTAGAAAGGTTTGCTATGAGTTCGGCGTCTGTGGATTCGTTCCGGATTGCAGACTGTGGCCATTTATCTTCGGTTGTCCAGAGAAAATCTGGTCCGTTGAACCACCTACTCTCAGCAGATAGATCGGGAAGCACGTTCCACTTTGTAGCGTCATCCGCTACGTTTAGTTTGCTTGGTACGTGTCGCCATTCATGTACTTCCGTAGCCTCTAGAATTTCCGTAACTCTGAATCCGACAAACTGAGTGTACCGCCGATGGTCGGAGTTGATCCAGCACAAAACGTCTCTCGAGTCCGACCAGTAAAACTTCTTCGTTATCTGCATAGCCAAGGTTTCGACGACCGTACGAGTGAGCCGAGAGCCGAGGGATCGAGGTGAGCTTCAACGGTGCTACTCTAGCTTTAGAGGTGAGGAGAGAACAGTGGATTCTTCCATCTTTAACGAAGCGGAGAAATGATACAGCTGCCATTCCGCTCTTGCCAGCATCAACGAACGTGTGAAGCT